AACATGAGTTTATAAACTTCTTTCATACATGTCAACCTAGAAGCTCTTTTATTTTAGAGCAGAAAAAACATCAAATAGGAAGTATTGACTTTGTTCTTATGCATGTAAGAACTAAATGCAGACAGAATAAACCAGCAGTCATTTCACAAAGCCTTTTAACTACTATTAATACTGGTATTTGGCCTTGCTTGATAACAGTCCTCCAGCGGCACTCACTACCTTAGGAACGGGCAAACACCATTTAAACCAGCCTGTAAGACTATTTTAATCAGTCAAAAAAGGGGGCTTTTCGCTCCCTCCACAAAAGAGCAAGCAAGGTCTGCAGATACAGTCTACTCAGTCAAAGACTTGATTTAAAAAAAAAAAAAAAAATGAAGCATGTGTTCATCCAAAGTACATGCACTGCTGAAGAAATATATCAACCCATAGTACTGCTAATTAACTTGATTTTTATAGTTTGTTTAGAGCATCAGCAGTGCCAAACACCATGGCTAATTGAAGGGGAGAAAAGCAGGCAAGTGGACTAAATACTGTGGCTAGATGCCCTTATGGAAGCCCCAGAGCAATACAGTGTCAACCAAAACATGACCAGTCAGAAAAGACAGACAAGCATCTGTTGTCTGAGATATCCAGGGGTCTGAGAACAGAAGGCACATTCTGAACCTAACACCGATTATGAAGCATCACCTGTTAAAGCCCAGCACCTGAACTTAAGCGTAGTCTTTGTTATTGGAGCATTCCCAATTCATTTTTGGGCCCTGAGCCAATTGTATTGTAGCCCCTCAAACCTTAGGAGAAAACATAAGTATAAGTGTAGTGACTTTAGATTAGTTTTGGCAGAAGGTTGAGCACACAAGAATGATGTACCTTAAAAACAAACAAACAACAAAACAATGGGAACACACATTTAGACCTTGTTGACTACAGATGCTGACTCATCATGCACATCTGGCTTAGGGACCAAACCAGGAAAAAGTCCAAAGAATAGTGCATGATGTCAAAATAAATATCTGTAGAAAATATGGGCTGATCTGGAACAGCTTTACAAACTAAGGCACCAGCAAAGCAGCACTACTAAAATATGTAATTCAATAATCAGAGGGGTTATCTTCAAATTAAAAAAAAAATGCAGATATACTGTATATCAGTAGAAACTTTTCAGTTGGTGTGTCTACATTACTGAAAGGTCAAACCCTTTAAAAAGATCAAAATTTCAGTTGCTGGGTAACCTTTCTGGAAATAACCCGCAGCCTTGTATCATAACTACTGCTGTGGCTCGTGCTCATGGACCAAAGCCTGTCACAGTCTCCCACAGGAGAGGACAAACCAGTGAGAATGAATCCACATGTTAAATGTAGCTGATGTACTCATCTAACAATGTGTTTCTTCAGGCTCAACAGCATGTCAGCAATACTGTTTACTTCTGCACCAACACAAAAGATGATTCTTTTGAGATTTTTGTATTAAATAAGGAGCTTTAACTACTTTGGGAAAATTAATAATTACCTAAACACGTGGCTCAGTAAAAAAGGACATCATTGTTAATCACTGTATACAGCTCAAGCTAAAGTCTAATTTTCTGTTCATCAACATCATCATTACTATTATTGTTTAAACCTGCAAAACCAGCAAATCACTGCTGATGAAGACATTGAAGACATCTGCCATTCCAAGATGTGCTCGAATTGCCAACTTGTAGCTAATCATCACAGCTGACTGTACTCTTGCTATAAAAAGTACCTGGCTTACAAAAATGTGACTATGCCAAAAACGATGAGTTTACAACCAGTACTCCTTCACAAACCACAGGACATTTCTGTCCCTGCACTGTGAACAGAGAGGAGACACTGTGGCCGAGGAGTACTACGGTGTACTACTTTGTCTGGCATTTCTGTTATTTTAACCTCTTTCTATGCATATTCCTATGTGCACACTTCCTGATTTAGATGCAGGGAAGCAACAAAAAAATAAATAAAAATTAAAAAAGGTTTAAGCAACATGCCACTTCTCTGCAGCAGATGGATGTAATCTGGTAACTACAGTCAGGGATGGGGAAGACACACTTAACAGTCAGAGATGTGGGATCAGTGGAAATGCATCACCCAAACTGCAGTGTGTATACTTCAGCATTTACAAGTAGCTAATAAAGACATATTTCATAAGGGTTTTACTCAGTTTTCACCCAAAGCCTAAACAAAATAAATTCTTGCAAGTCAGCCATTCTTTGTGAGGGGAGGTGCATAACTTAATGACATCACATCTCAGAAATGTGGCTTCTGTATTTGGAGAAATGGTCCTATTGCTAAATATAAACTGACCCAGATCACAAGGAGTGACATAGATTGAAAGTTAGTATTATAGTGGAAAAGTATAAATCTATTTGCTGTAGTCATGATGTAGTGTCGACACATAGACACAGAGGGACAGCAAGAAGTGCAGTCCAAAGCAGTAAAGGGAACTGAAGAGCCTGATCAGCATTAAAGGAGCACGAGGCGTTTGTCTACACATCACTCGAGTGGAGCAGCAGAGATGCACAGGTTGTTTAAGGCACAGGCAACTTGCACAATCTTATCAAAGGTTGAGAGGTTCGACGTGCGCTCAGAGGCTGCGGTGAAGGCGCTCTCGACAGGGCCCGTGAGCATGGCGTACCGCTGCTTTACCATAGAGATCACCCTCTCCACATGCCTCTGCACGCTCACTGTCTCAGAGGAAGGATCAGCCAGCAATGAGCCCTCTGTTCTCCCATATGCTTCTCCCTGGTAGCTGTCAGCAATTTTAAACAAGGCTCCACGTGCTGCCACGGAGTCTCCGATGTCCAGGTCACGGCTTGCCAGTACGACATCGCCCGGGAGAAGCTTGCACAAGAATCCACAGCCCTCAGCCAGGCTCTTGTCACTGACGTTTCCCAGCACACCCCTAGAGACAAAAGTGACCACGCCTTGCGGAGCCACGCCAATCAGATACTTAAACACGTTATAACTTGGCCCCGCCCCCTGAGAGACCGGGTCCTCGAAAGGCACGGTGAAACAGTCTATGATGACGGCGCAGTCAGGGTGAGAGGCTCGCAGCGCAGCTGGCAGGTTTTTACGGAGCTCAGCTCTGGAGGGCCAAAAGACAGCCGTTGGCACCAGAGTAGAGGACATGATGCTGACCATCCGGTGAACTGTTCTGGTAACTGTGCCGACTTTCACGCCAAAGCGATAAGCCAAGTCCTGATTGCGGAGGTCCAGGCGGAGACGCATTAGTGTCAGCAGCAGCTGCTGGAACTTGGAGAGCTTGACGTTTTTCATTCCATCCATGTGAGGTGCCAGCAGCCACATGACTGTCTCTAAGACAAAGTAGTTGGGTAAACCAGTGTAAAACTTCACTTTCTCAGCATCATTCCTTAAGGAGTTCTCTGAGAGAGACATTTTCTCCACAGACTCCTTGAGGGCCTGATTCTCCCTCTTCAGGGCTTTCAAGATGTCATCAAAGTTCACCGGGACATCAGATGTCTGGGCAAACTTTCCTTTCTTGCTGTCACTCACAGACTGATCATCATTATCATCATCATCATCTTCGTCGTCATCGTCATCATCATCTTCAGTGCTGAGGGAGGAGGAGGCACTCTCCTCCGCAGTGGTCTCCTGTTCCTTCACCTCAGGATGCTTTTCCTGGCCCTGTTCATCCACCGCAGACATGCCCTGGCCCTGGAGGAACAGCAAGGCATTGGCTGCCTCCACCCGTGCTTCCTGTTTGTCCACGATCTCTAAGGCACCCGGCTCCTTCATCTCTGGGCATAAGGGAGCCACCGTGAACACAGAAGGAACATAATCCGGAGAGCGCGGATTCTTCACCTGTTTACCTGCATGTGAAAAAAATAATCTAATTCAAATTCATCTGTTTATGATACTTATGATTTAGAGTGCTCTCTCATTTTGTAGCGTGCAATACATAAAATAACAAACAGTTGCTGTTGTTCAGTCAGTACATCCCTAATTAATTTTTCCTCTACAAACAAAATTTAAGCATGAAAATCTTTGCACACAAAAAGATTGCACACACCAGACAATAAAAACAAAACAAACCTAGCATTAAAATACCACGTACCATTAGCGGCATCTACTTTCATATATTTAGTAAACAAAATTTATAACCCATCCCAGCTGAATTAATTGCAGTAATGCTACATTTTATTTCCATCTCAACTTAGTTTCGTACAGCTATTTTTTAGATATTCAAAGGCTTACAGCTACAAACACCGCCTTTTTCCAGTCATTTTAATCAGTGAGGGTTTTTACTATGTGATAGTGAACCTAAACATGTTTATTACCCGCTGCAGTTACACCGACTATGCCACTGTCCCTCCTGACTTCATGCAACCTTTGAACACAACACTGCACTGACAGCAAAAAAACCCCAAACTCCTTGGTTTTCTAGACACGAGTGTTTATGTGGAAGCCTAGCAACATCAGTGTGAACTGGTTTACTTTAAAAACAAACAAACACACAAACAAAAACAAAAAAACACACACAGGGGGACACTTTTAGGGTTCAGAGTGGTTTTGCCTTCATACCTGAAATGAAGTGAGTACTACAGAGCCGACTGCCGTCGTTCGGCACCCAGCCCTCTCGGTTCACAGCAGCTATCCAGCGCTGCTTCCTCTCGGGGTCCCGTGGGAAACGGTAGAAAGATAAGGTGGTGCCTGGTGTCCTTCTGTTCCTGCAGCCTGCCACCACACAGGTGTGAACCATAGTAAGGCCACGGAGAAGCGTGGAAGTGTGCGCTGCAGTTTGCTGGGTGTTTTGACTCCCAAAATGGTGGTCTACCAGAGGGCGACAAAAAAACTGTAGTTCCGTCATCAACGGCCGTTAGCTTTCGTCACTCTGATTGGACCATCTCGGGACGACGTCATTGAAATGCGATCTTCACTCACGCCGAGAAGCAGAAACGCTAATGTCCCGAAATCACACAAATGGTTAATTTGCTCTTTTTTAATTTTCGAAAATGAACACGACGAAGGAAAAAAACAAACCACAGCAACTGGAAACAACCACAGACAGTATAAAACAGATGCAATATACCTGTAGCTTATTAGATCCCTCTGTTAATCAGCTCTGAAACTGGAGTACAGTACTTGGCTTTCATCCACAGCACACAACTGTGATACAGTAGCTTATTTCAATACAAGTGTGTTTAGACTGCACAAAGATAAAACTCACTAGTTATATTTGAAAAGCCAATTACCAATTTGTTAAAGATCGAGATAGTAGTAGTCACATGCAACACATCACAGCAATGAGCAATAAAAGTTCAGGATTTTCTGATTAACAGTCTCATTTGCTATTTTATTTAACTTTATACAAATGGGTAAGGACAATTAAAAGTGAGCTGTGGTAGATGGATAAACCATCTATAGTTTGACAATGCATATTCATGTGGCTGAATTATTAACACCCATTGGTTACTGCAAGTCATGTGTTATACTCCCGCTGCAGAAGACTGAGCTTGCTATTGATAAAAGTTTAGCCTTTTTAATCCAACAATGTCTCAATATATATCTTTATGTATTATATGAATCTGTACTACTTGTCTAAACAGCCAGTTTCCATTTTATTGCATACAACCATGGAAATGCAAATTATTGACTCACAGGTCCATGTACTATTTACAATCAAAACACAAACCATATACAATATAAAGGATAGCTGCTTTCTCTGATTGAGTTCATTTGTTGGGACTCTTCTCATAATGTATGTTTTTCCTTTGCTGTTTGACTTGATAGATAATCTTTGCCTGCAGCTTAAGTGCTTAACATCACATAGATTTGTGCCAACGGATGGACAAGCTTTAGATGTGTGTGATCAGTCTGTACACAGAGGTGTTCCGGTCTCCTCTCACATGCTTCAGTCTCTTGAGCTCTGTGAGACAGAGGACGTATACGGGGGCCTTGGTTCCGACACTGATGATCTTCTTCAGCTTCTCCATCTGAAACTCTGTTGTTTCTCCTGCAGAGGGCGCCACAGAAAAGGGACAGATTAGAGAAATGAGAGCTTGTTCACATGATGATTTGCTGGGATACCGCTAAAATAACAAACACACCATGTCTGTAAAAATCTGGCTTTTTGAAACGTTTCGGGGGCTTAAACTGGAGGAAATCTATTTGGTATACAATTCCAATTATGTAACTGATGGTGGCAATTTTGTAGCTGAAACCTCACTGAAGCCAGATCAATGTTAAACTGATGAAACCAGGCAAAGAAACAAACTGACTGTTCTGCTAACAATAAAGATGAACAGCCTGGTGCTGGTAGCAAATGTCCTGAGACAGTTTAACCAAGAGAGCTGCAATCAGAGAAATAACAAACATCTCTTGTTTACTTTCCAAATATCATACTGTTATCTTGAGCACTGAGTATAAACAATTATCTGTAGGCACAACAGTGGATACAGCCATTATATGACCGTGTGTACTTTGAGAAAACGATGTAGATCTATTCAGCTGGGACCTAATATGCTCATTTCCAGCTTGACATGTTTATTTTTGGACTACATCAAGTTAACTTTGCATGATTCACAGCTTTAAATAACTGTTTATCTGAATGTGGCCCTTTGTGCAGCCCCCACAGTTCATCCAGTGAAAGGAGCAGTTTTAGCTTCCCTCCTTCACCACCATCCTTCCCAAGGCCACTTCCTTTTAAGCCAACTTTCTTCTCATGGGATGCTCCTCACAAACAGAGCTGTGTGCCTTACAAGAGCATATAATGGATATTTTCTTATGAGAAAAACACAAGTGAAAAGACAGCAGTTTGAAACCTGAGCGTTTGGGCTTACAAGGATCCCCGACATCATTTGAAACTCTGGTCGTGTTTAAAATGAGCATCTACTATTGTAAGAGTATGTATATGACAGGAAAATATGAAAGATGATGACAGGCTTGGTCGTATACAGATATTATATGTGATGTCCCCGCGCTTTGATTTTAAAAATGGGACAAATCCTCAGATTTCAGTCTGATCAGGTGCTTCCCTGATGGTATTGTGTAATCAGTCTGAAGCATCTAAAAGTTTAACACAGTACAGCTAGTTCTTGCTGCTATCAGGAACAATTTGACAGGTTTATGAATCCTAATTTCTCATTGGGGTTGTGTCAGGAAGGGCATCCTGTGTAAAACTGCCAAATCAAACAAGCAGCGCTACCTGCTGTGGCACCCGCTTGTGACAAGGAAGCAGCCGAAAGCAGCTTCTCTGAATCCAGATTTCTTGTTACTTTAGAAGCTAAGTTTTTTTTAAACGATTAAACCATTTTTTAACCTCTCATGTTTGTAACTACAACGGGGTGGATTATAGATGATCTCCCATTGAGTAACCAAGGGAAACATCGCCAGCACAGACCTGTTCATTCCCATTTGGTTGTTTACTTATGCAAATAGCACCCTCTGCTGCTAATTAACAGTCCAAACTAACAGAGGATGACAGCTTTATTCAGGGAAGGATTTCAGCATAACCGTGAAAACTACTGGACGCTATTTTTAAAACAGGAAGCGCTCCTCTGATTTAATAAAGGAAATCTGTGGAAGTCCAGTGTAACTGCAGTAATCAAATCCAACTGAACAAAAGTCAAACCAGCAAGATCATTTGTTTTCCAAGTTTGCAGCCAATCTGAAAACCACTGTGTGTGAGATCACAGGTGTTTTCTAAACTACTGACCACGACATCAACACCACTGCCTCAGTGAGAAGTTTAAACTGCTGTGTCAGAGTCTCCGTTTCTCATGCACCTTGACTGTGGTGTGTCCTGTAGTATATTAATGTATGATTACATTCTTCTCCACTACAGTTACAAAGCTATTCAATTCAATTCAGTTTTATTAATATAGCACCAAATCACAATAGCTGCCTCTAGGTATTTTATATTGGAAGGTAAAGGTCTGCAATATTACAGAGAAAACCCCAACAATCAGAGGACCCCCTATAAGGAAGCACTTGGCAACAGTGGGAAGGAAAAACTCCCTTTTAACTGGAAGAAACCTCCGGTAGAACCAGGGTCATGGAGGGCGCAGCCATCCTCCATAACCGGAGCTGTTTAAACAAGAGCTGCATTCATCCATGACCCTGTGCACAAATATAACACTGACCTTGACACTCTGCCATGAAATTGTTGATGTTGTGAACCGTTTGGTTGAGGCTGTTCAGGCTCATCTGCCTCAGGTAGCTCGGTAAACTCTGGAACTCGTTCTCTGACACTTCAGGCAGACTTGCAGATCTGGGAGAGGAATGGATGGAAGGTGACACGTCACAATCAAAGTTTTGAAAGAAAGACTGCAGGCACGCATCGTGTAAGAATGGATAAAACTGAGTGAAATAAAGAAATTAACACATTTCATCAGGAGAGACAGAAATAAGCAACACAAAAGTTCAACATTTATTACAAATATATACAAATGATATCTCATATCTAATGTTTTACATTAATATTCTTCTCTGCTACCGAGCACCAGCCTGATCTGCAACTTTGGAATGGACACACAATCAAAGCTACTAATTTAGAGTTCATGAATTAAATATTGCCACCTATATCTATATTTCTTATTTTATAACGGGCTACCTGTGTTTCTTTTTGTCAGGCTTGACAGGTGGGTGTTCATTTGTCATTGTTGTCTTCTTCAACTGAGCCTGGGACACAAGCTACAAAATAGGAGGAAAGAGCACGAGAGGAAATTTCACAAATTATAAATGTTATGTAACATTTACGTCAACAAGGAACATGAATTTATCTGCAAACAGCAAACCTATGGATTTCAAAAGTGCTTTTATGGGACTAAACAAGACTAACTTTACAGATGTCCTGTGTGACAGAGCTCAGGTCTGGCATCTCCGGGGTGGTTGGCTCTTGGTAGTGTGCTCTTATACGAGGTGTCCCCAAGCTGAACTCCTGGGTGAGTCCATCCAACTCCAGGCTGTTGACATTGGGCTCCTTAGCCACCTTTTCATTCTCGCTGAACTTCAGGATTTTCCCATTGCTCTGTAAATGACAGGAAAAACTTTGACCTTTAAACATGTTTCATTCA